CAGAAAATCCAGGCTCCTTAACTCTATACCATAGTGCATTGTTAAAAAGCCTAACACAGTTTTTGGCCATGTAAATACAAGTATTGCATCTGGGTGAGAATCAGTAAGAGTCTTAGCCAACATCATCTTGGATATTCCACAAGTTTTATATGATTATATCCATATATTGAGGGGACTTGACAAACCAGAGAGCATGAAAAGAAGGGCTGTCAGGATGATGTTATCTAAAGGGAGGATGTTTGGGGGAAGATGAAAATGTCCAGCTCGGAGAAGAGGAGATCTTCAAATATTTGCCATAGAAGCTAGAACTGAACTCTTCGGTGAACTTTAGAGAGCAAACCTGAGCAGATGGATGGACATCAGAGGGAGGCAGTTTCTGTTCGACATAAGTGGGGTATGTCTGAAAATGAAATCTGCCTGCTAGTAGAATGAGCCTCTGCTAGAAAGAGGGCACCCAGTCATAGAAAGTATTCAAGCTGAGAACACTTGATGCTTTCCATCAGGAAAGCTGAGCTGTTAGGGAATTTCTGCATCAATGGGAGTATCCACAGGATGATTTCTAATGTCCTTTCCAACCTCAAGATTCTACCACCTCATTCATCAGGTGTATGTGCTTCATGCTTCTTCCTTAAACATAGACATTTTTCTTTGGGGTAACTCCAAAGGGTTAATGATTAACTGGGTTTAAGAGTGGATGTTTCATCAATGAAGCAGCCACAGTTGATTGGGGCAGGGGTGAACGCGTGAACCAAGCTGGCTCAGTTGGGTTCTCTCTCTTGGAATTTGGAACTGGTTTTCTTTCTGCAGCTGGGGAGTACTGAAGCTGTGGAGCTGGGACAGCCATTTCCATGCTGTAAGTGGGGAAACTGAAAGCACTGATTGGCAAGGAAAAGGATAAATAAGGCAGATGCACAGTAAGATGCAGAAACGATAAACCACATGATCCAAGGGAGAGAAAGAGAAATTGAGAGAAATCGAGAGATGATGAGGTTAGTTGCTCTGGTTCCTAGTGGCTTGCAAATTCTAGATTCCAGCTCTTCTGACTTGGCTAGATTGCTGCTTCTGGGATCAAGGACACACCATTCGATGCTCCCAGTTAGTTCCCATTATTTTGCTCAAACCAGTCTGAAGAGGTTTCGATAATTTGCCACCCAAAGTTCTTTAAGTTTAGACCATTCTTTTAAATAGGGTAACTCTTCTTTCTTTGTATCAAAAACTGACTTTTGCTGTCTTGAATTGGCCACTTAATAGTGGCAAGTCATTACAGGTACACATTTTCCCCCAAGATATAATGGTTATAATTAAGTGATTCAAAAGCACTTTAGTGCGGAAGGGCCAGGGCTATCCAAATGTCAAACTGAATTATAAAGTGAGCAGAGATAAAATGCCACGGGATGGAACCATCCATAATTTATGAGTCGTAGGATCAGATCAGTCCATAAAATGAACTGGAATAATTTTTTTCATGGTTTCATGTGTTTTTATTAAAAGATATATCTCAGTCACAGTGATACACTGAAGATTAATAACATTGCAAAGGAGTGAAGCATTCTTACCATATCCCCGAGACCCATGTTTTTGATTGTGTACTGGGGGGAATGTCATTGGTTGAGGCACAGCTATGTCAGCCTTTGGGAATCTGAGCCGTGAATACTTGAGGCAGGACATGGGTTCTCAGGAGGAGCCTCTGCTGCTGTTTTGCTGTGGCAGAAATCTCATGTGTTTTCTGGGAGAGACACCCTCCAAGATGTGAACAGTAAATGAAATCCTCATAGGCTTCTGGAGCAGACCTCTGTCTGCCAAGAATAAATCCAAACTGGAGGTTGTTTGCAATGGGTCTATGTGACAGAAACATTTGCAATCAGGTCGCTGAAAATGTTTGTTTTGCTGGGTCTACATGGCAAATAGGATACAGATCAGTGAGCAAAGAAATGGCTTGCTGAGTAGGCTGGACATCATTGATGAAATGTTTGCTGGAAGCATGTACCATGAGTCTTGCTTCTGCACCCCATCTAGGGGTTGCCACGCTGGCTGACAGCATGCCCAGCCTCAGCGTTTATGAGAAACGAGCTGAAGTATTTGTCATCATTAAGGCTCTAGATTGTTTTCTAGGAGTGTTAAACCTTCTGACCGTATTGTAACTCATGGAGTTTGACCCACATCCCTCTTGAAGTTTGGATCAGATGCAAGACGGCTATCCTTTACTTTTATGAAATAGATGTGTTCCAGGGAGCTGCCAATAAAGTACACCGTGTAAAGTAAATCCCATTCCCCCGCTGATTTGCTTTATAAAATTAGAAATGTGTACTCTGGAAAGCAATCCACTGAATGTTTGGTGAGGAGGCAATTGCAGCGGCTCGATTGCAGTCTCACAGTGGACTCCTCCCAATGCCGTCATTCAGGAATGCCTGCAGAAGAGAACAGTCCGTCCTTAGCCCTGAGTCTTCTTCTGTGCAGTTTCCCTGCACCAGGGCGTCGCCCAAACCACTGGACATCTGCTCTGTACTCCAAGTACTATAGGATTTTTGTTCAAGCTAGGAATCTCCTTATGTCGTGCCCATGATTTTAATCTCCTATTTCTCCTTTAATCTGAGTATTCACCCCATTTGGCCGAACTGGACCACAATATCATACACCAGTTTAAATCTCCATCAACATCATAGTTGCAGTAACAGTATGCACGTTACTACCCTCCTCAGTGGGTAGGAGGGCCTGGAAGATACGATACTATCATTTTAGAATCGAGGAGAAACATAGGAGAATAGTACCTGAGAGATACGGTTACAATCGACCAAATAAATCTCCTAGGTTAGAACTGTACATATTCATCAGATGTTATGAAGGAACTCAGGAAAAATGAGATAGAATTCGCTAAAGTAACAGCCCTCCTCCCCCAAGTTACATAAAACCACAGTTTATTTTTCAACACATTGTTTTGGATCTAGGTAAATGTGTTAATAATTGCCCCGTGATTAGTGAAATTTATCTTTTCTTCACTGTTGATTTTGGAGGGAGAGAGAATGTGACCTGCTGAGGTCTGTGTTGAAGCTCCTGTTTGGTTAGCAGCGGCAAGCGTGGTGTTCCTTTGCCTGTGAGGGAGAGTGAATATATTGAGAAGGCAGGAAAAATAGCTTCTGATGTTCACTAGATTCCTCAGAGCTGCAATACCTGGATTTGGTTTGTTTTTCTGAATTTTAATGAGTGGCATTGGGGTTTGTTCAGTTTCTCTATTTTCAAGTTTCATTATATGTACCAGAGAGAGTAATAAAATTTCTATAGTTGCAGAAGCTTACCATTTCACAAACTTAGTTAAACTCGTTATTACCTAGTTCTACTGTGGATCCTGTCATGCCCTATACGTGCATTCCTCTCATGAGAGCATGGAAAGCCTCTCTCACAGTTGTTATCTGACCCACCAACATCCCTGTGACAAGGAGGTCCATGGCACCACACTGGGCTTACTTCTCTAACAACAACCACTGCTTACATTTATTCAGCACTCACCATGCGCCAGACACTGTGCCAAATGCTTTATTTCCATTGTCATTATCTCAACCAGTTTTCTACCCAACTTACTGCCATGTCACAGATGGGGGAACCTAGGCTCAGCAGGTGAATTAACTCACTCCAGCCCACACAGCTAGTGGTAAGTGGCTGAGCCGGAACTTGAAAATAGGTCAGTCCCTGTCAGGGCCCATACTTATAATCACTTTTCTCAACTGCCTTTTTCTCCGGTGGCCATTTAATACCAGGACCCTTAGCCCATGTCACATCAAAATGGGCACAGTGCAAACTGTCAAATAAACCATTGGTCAGGAAGTTTGCTGAAGGAATTGTGAAGGAGTAGGGACCTTAGCCAGGTTGAAGTTTCTGTGCTTCAAGACACAAAAAATACAGCAGATTTTTTTCTTTAATAGACTTCATGATAAGCTTGTCATGTATCATTGACCTAAGAGAGGACAATAGCAACCCAGAAGGGCACTTACATTTCTAGGATGTTCTAAAAATAACCTATATGATTAATAGCTGTGTCCATGGAGAATAGAAGTCCACGTTATGGCTGAGGACAGGGATACTGTCACTTCCCAGGGGTTTCTCAAACCCGTCCACTTGCTTGGATCACCTACTTATTCCGACATTTTCATTTAACCTTTATATGTTCCTGGGACTTTATTTATTCAGGGTGTATAACCTCAGCTCATGGGATGTTTTTGCCCAAAGCAGGACAGAGATAACCATTTCTCTCAGAAATAAATCTTTGTGAGCTTTGTACCACAGTTTAGTGTATTTACAAGTCTTTGAGGTAAACTTTCAATCAGAATATGGCAAGTAAGGTCATCTTGAGGCCCAGTGACACTGTTGCTATTATTACATCACTCAGTTATCCAGTTCAGAGGATGGGAAAGCCCTAAAGGTGGTGACCAGGGGCCTCCATGCAATGCTTAGGTGGTGTTAACTCAGGACAGTTAAATAACCCATCAGTTTGGGGCAGGAAAAATGGAAATTAAATTAATTGATCTGTTCACTCAAAAAATTGGTCCTGAGAGCTGCAAGGAGTTTTCTCCTTAGAGAAAAGAAAGTCTGTTCCCAATATTGAGACAAGAATTTATCTGAGACATAATAGTCTTTCTTAGAGGGTGACGGACAGAGTTTACTTACCCAAACTGTTTTGATTATGTTTTCTAAGCGTAACAGTGTATAAAAATTTGGAAGAAGACTTCAAGTACAGCATTATAGAGGATGATGATGATGATAGCAGTAATAATAATAGTCACGTATATCCCTGAATATATGCATCTTTGCAATGTGAATTTGCTACTCCTCCTGCGAAGACTTAGAGTCTCTTTCTCTACCCACTTGAATCTGACTGGGCTGTGGCTTTCTTTGACCAGTAGAATGGTAAATGTGATGATGTTGTAGGACTTCTGAGTCTAGGCTTCAGGAGATTTTGTAGTTAATCTTCTCATGCTTTTGCTTTTCTGCGACCTCCATGTGAAAAGGCCTGGGCTAGTCTCCTTGAGGATGAGAGACCACGTGGAGCAGAGACATGAACCACCCAGCCTGCCTGTAGCCCATCAGTGTGAAGGAGGCCACCTGGGACCTCCAGCTCCAGCTGACGCACCAGCTGCCTGCAGACCCACTGACTTGTAAACAATAAAATTGTTATTGTAAGCCTTCAATTTGAGTGTCCTTTACTGAAGCAATAGATAACGGTTATATATAGTCTCACCCTAATACACACATACACGTTTTAAAATGTAAATATATCTCTGGGCGATGGGATTATGCGTGATTTTAACTTTATTTTTTATAATTTTATATATTTTCTAATAAACCTGCATTACTTTAATGATAGCATTAATAATAAGTGATATTGAACAAACTACTGATTTTAATTAAATGACTATTGCAAACAACTAGTTACTGATTAAGGAACTCAATCACTTCCATTAGGGAGTCCTTAGAATTGTGTGTTCCAGTTATCCATTGCTTTTTAGCAAACCACCTCAAACCTTAGTGGCAGAAACAATAACCATTTTATTATGCTCATGATTTTGTGGATCAGGAATTCAGGCTTGGCATAGCGAGGATGGCTAATCTCTACATTTGATGACTGGGGGCTCAGCTGGGGTACTCAAATGGCAGTAGATGGTTGAGGCAGCTCAACCGGGGTCACACGTCCATGGCCTTTGTTCTAACCGTAGGCTGGGTTCCTTGCTTCTTCTACATGTTGTGTCTGGTGGAGCTGGAATGTTCATGAGGACTTCTCAGTCACATATCTGCTGCCTGGGCTGGGATGGACAGAACAGCTGGGGCTTGCCGGGCATCTCTATCTCTCTTTCTCTCTCTCCTCAAGGCTTTTCAATACGTCCAGCTTGAACAGCAAGGCAGTCTCAGAGTAGCCAGATTTCTTACTTGATGGCTGACTTCATCCAGAGTAAACATTCTAAGAGGTGGAAGAGGCAAGCCTTCATATGATCTAGTCTTGGAATCACTTCTGTTGCATTTAATTGGTTGAGCAAGTTACTAAAGCCAGCTCAGATTCAAGGAGAAAGATTGGATGCTATTCTTTTGTCTCTAAGTGGCATTGCTTGATTCCTGGTCTACAATTTTTGGTATAGCTTTATCCTTTCATCCACCATAAAGAAGATGTTGTGAACAGAATTTCAAGTGCAGAGAATGGCACCAGAATTTGACCTGCCTGGCTAAAATGTTTGACCCTGACATCTGGCTCAGAATTGAGCAGTTGTTCAGAAGGTTTTGTTGTCTCAAATAGTTGGCTGAGATCTTGAGGTTATCACAAAATAATAGGAGGATGTAGGATTTAATATCAACAATTGAGTGGGGAAAGGAAGCATACCAGATTAGTGTGGCTCCACAGTCTTGTAACACAGTCCTACTCAAGAAGTCAACAAGATGTTGGGATCTCAAGCCAAAGTTTGGATCATTACATTAGGTGATTTAAAGAAATTTCATTGTACACATAAATAAATGATCATGGATAACAAGGAAATCAGAAAATTGAAAAAATATATTCCAAGTTTAATGCTAGCTAGTTTTTCTATAAACATACCTTTTTATTTTCTTCTTCTGGAGCTGTACTCAATAAGACACATATGCAGTCAGCACGTGCAACAGGCAATGTCAGTCATCCACCCATATGCCTGCAGGCCCTTCACTGCATCATCTCCCATCCCTTTACCGTCCTCATGCACTCTGGCTCCCCTGTGTTTTCACTTCCAGCATCTAGCACCAGGATCTCTTTTTGGAGGACTGCCCACAGGCTGCTGCTTCCTACTTTGCTGGTGTATACCAGGAGATAAAGTGCTTGGGAATTCACATTCCCTTGAGGGTAGCCCCTCACCAAGGATGAGTGGTGCCGAGTATAATACTCCAAGGACAACTTTGTGTAACCAGCTCCGCTATCTCTATACCCCACTGCAGGATTAGGCTACAGTTCCCTTCTGTGGGAGTTTGCTTAATATCCCACCTTTGCTTGGTCCCTCTTCCCCAAAACCCTACTAGTTTTTCCAGGGAACACATTCCAATAAATCGTTTTCACACGAATTCTCCTCTTAGGGTCTGCTTCTGGGGAAGCTACCCTACAGATAACGTGGAACATGTCAAAATTACCTTTGAAAATCCATTCTATTTCCCACAAGCACAAGACTGTGGCTTATCTATACAACCCTAAAAAAGTAGTTTTTGCATCATAAACTTTGGAAATCACTGAAACATACCAAGCAAGGAGTAAAATAAGATTCTGTGTGGAGATGTCTGGGTCCTTACGATAGTTTGCCAATCTTAGACAATAAATGGAGAATACTAAAGGATTCTGCTTGACTACACTGTTTATTTCATTATATTTTAATATTAAGCCTCTATAACTTGAATACATATTAATGGATTTGCTTGTTGTTATTCTTGAGAATATTAAATAAGATTATATGGAGAGATCAGGTTCTGAAATCAGCAGGGAATTTAAATGCATGCACAGTGATAAAATTAACCTGTATATTTTAAAATTTACTTATTCACAACATATATATTGAGCAAGATCTATGTGTCACATATTATTCATATGGTTCTAAACACTGGGCATGTGGCAGTAAACAAAACAGACAAATCCCTGCCTTCAAGAAGCCTACATTCTAGTGGAAGGAGAGATAATAAACAGGTTCTTATATAATGTAAGATGAAGAGAAGCACATGGAGGAAAAGAAATCAGGGTAAGGTGGGCAGGGAGTGCCAGGGTTGGGGTACTGTTTTATTTGGGTGGTCAGGGTGGGCCTCCCTGATAAGGTGACATTTGAACAGAGACCTAAAGGGAGTGAGGCTAGTCGTGCTCTTTTTGAGGAAGATTAGCCCTGAGCTAACTACTGCCAATCCTCCTCTTTTTGCTGAGGAAGACTGGCCCTGAGCCAACATCCATGCCCATCTTCCTCTACTTTACATGTGGGACGCCTACCACAGCATGGCTTTTGCCAAGCAGTGCCACGTCTGCACCCGGGATTGGAACCGGTGAACCCTGGGCCGCTGAGAAGTGAAACGTGCAAACTTAACTGCTGCGCCACTGGGCCACGCCGCTCCCCACCTCCCCGCCCCGCCTCAAATATTTGAAGGGCTCCCTTTCAGCCAACTGAGTTAGTTACAACTTGAGAACACTTATGTTATTTGACACATATGAATTATATAAGCAGGTTGGATTTCTGCTGCAAAAGAAAAGCCAGAATAGCAAAAAATTGAGTAATTGCCGAAATACTTTTTCCTATCTATTTACAATCTTTTATATAAATGTGAATGTTAATTCCTAATTATTGGGAACAACAAAGTACACTTGCAAAGATTCACCTTCAAAACCAGCGCTTTCTGACGCTCTCTAGCTAATAACAGCTCTGGACTGCAAACATCTGATCGGAATTAATTGCAGCAGATCAGAATCCTGCAGATGTTAAAATGTCTTTAGTTTTACAGACCAATAGATGCTACGGTTCAGCAGCTCTGCATTATTATTAGTAAGCTCCTTGAATCTTGAGGGAGGCAGCCTAACAATCCACTGTAACCTTTATAAACTAAATGAGAATTAGTGACTGTGCTTGTTGATTGTATCAAGAACAAGGATATAGAATAAAAATAACACCTCTTTTATATCTATCAAACAATTTAATATATAAAAAACTTGCTTTGCCTGAGAAGTAAAAATAAAGCAGTCACCCAGATATAAAGTATTCATCATATGTAGGGGAAATATCTAACATGTTTATGGAGTGGACTGATGGGCAAAGAAGAAGGAAACTCTATTAAAAAGGTCAGAATAGGGGCCGACCTGGTGGCCCAGCGATTAAGTTCTCACGCTCCACTTTGGCAGCCCGGGGTTCATGGGTTCGGATCCCGGGTGCAGACTTATGCACCACTTGTCAAGCCACGCTGTGGTAGGCGTCCCACATAGAAAGTAGGGGAAGATGGGCATGGATGTTAGCTCAGGGCTAGTCTTCCTCAGCAAAAAGAGGAGGACTGGTGGCAGATGTTAGCTCAGGGCTAATCTCCCTCAAAAAAAAAAAAAAAAAAAAGGTCAGAACGTAATTCAAGAGGTTAGTGGATGGAATAAGGTTCCGAGAAGACATCAGTCTCCAAATCAAGGGGAGGGGCTGCAGCGTGGCGGCCATGCCGCACCTGTAAAGGGCTGAGAAATCGCGCTCCAGGTGCCACAGCTTTGTTATGGAGGACGCATAATAAAATGGATACATAGAACTTTCCATGGGTAGATTGTCCAAATTTAAAATGGTCAGGCTGCTGAAACCTGGGATAGAGCACAAGGTGGTGTGCAGGGGAGGGGCGACAGGTGGGGGTGAGAGACAAACTTGAGACACTCAGCATGCATTAACAGATGTGGGAAGAAAGAAGAAGTAGCTTTCAAAAACTGCTAAATTAGATTGGATTAGAAGAAATGAAATGATCTGTTATCATCATTAGCAACAAAGAGCACCCCATTACACAACTGTTGGCTAACCATAGGTGGTCCGGAATATTATGCTTAGTGTCACAGAGATAGTAAGACATCCATATTCATTTTCCATTCATTTAGTATAATTTATTGTGTTCCCTTGATCTATTAAGCATTGTGTTAGAATTCAAGGGCAAGGCTGGCAAGTCCTGGGACTAGTGCCACCACTTGCCTGTTATTCCCATGACAGACATCACCACTCAACCACAACACTAGTTCCATTGCTTCTGGCCATGGCCTCAGAGTCTTTTTCAGCACAGATATGGATCCTCACTATTGGCAGAGACCACGTGGAGGCTACTGCAGTAAAATCAGCTGACAAAGAGTGAGAGCTTGAATGAAGTTAGAAGAATGGGGATAGAGAAATGAATAAATTTGAAAGACGCTAAAGAGGTAAAAGAGACAGTACGTTATCAATGATTGTATGCTGGCAGGGGATGGAAGTTGCTAGGACAAAGTCAAGAATGACATCAAGGTTTCTAATTTGCTCAATTGGATGGATGATAACACCATTCATTGAGGTTTATGAGGGGGAAGAGCATCTGTAGGGAGAAAGATGGGCTCAATTTTAAGTACTTTGAGTTTTAGGTTCTTGTGGGCCATCCAAATAGAGATTAAGAAATTGGATATTTGCGTCTATATTTCAGATGCACAGTCAAAGCTAATGAGAAGATG